AGCATTTTGGCTCTGTATCTGTTTTAATCTCCCTCCATACTATCGTGCATGTACGTGCGTGTGTGTGCGGAGGCAATCCACTCTCTCAGGTGGAGTCAGCGAAGCAGCGCAGCCAACAGATTCCTCTCCCACACACATTTTCATTTTGATGGCTGTGGATTGCCGTCCCACTGCCGCATCTTCCCTCCTCTCAACTTCACTTCATCATTCCACACGCTCATAAAAAAAGGTTCATTTCCTCTGCCTCATTTCCCTAAAGGTGAGTTCAGCAATCCGTCTCTCTGCTACATGCACTCTAGCTTTTCTTATTGCCACTCTGATGGTGGACACAGATACAGTACGTGTCTGATGGTGTTTAACAAAGTCAACTCACAGGTAACGAATATGAAAGCGCTGATACAAGAAACCGACTACCCCATGAGACCATTATTAAAACGTGATGATGGTGCACGGGGGTGTGGCGTTTTTGAATGTCATTTAAGGAGGCCTCTGTCTGTCTGTTTGAGAGGTGGATCGATACAGTGATGAGGAGACGGAGGCACAAGCGTAATCACAGAAAGCCCAGCAGTGCTGAAAACCACAGAACTGAACAGAACTGAAGACTGACTGACACATTTGGCGAATTGCTCCCTCGCTACATCGCCCTGATTCTAATGACGTGGCCTTAATGTCAGAGGCTTTTCTCAGGTTTTTGTCTGTATGGTGCTGATTCTCTCCTCTTGACCGTGTTGTGTATCCTCACAGGGAGGTGAGACCTATAAACAGCAGCAGTTCTTGAACATTCACCTCTGTTATCACCAACCGAGAGCTGCAGGGACGTTCTGATGGAGGTGTGAGGGTAGACACGAAGCCTGATAATGGTGATTAATGTGAAGGATTAGCATAGCATTTAAGGTATAGTGGAGATGTAACGTACGCATTACTGGAGCTCATGGTTGGTGAAGTTAAATGAAATTTCATTAAAGCTAAAAGAGAGAATGATGACTTTTACAACTCCCCCTGGCAGCGTTTTTACTGCCAGACATTTCGCACTAATGACTTGAATATGAAATAGTGACCCCCATCGCACCGAGCGCAGTTTGAGTAAATTGAGCTCACTGGTAAAATAACCTTCACATCAGCGACTGGTAAATCTGTTGTTCGAGCTTCATGCAGCAGGAGTCCTCGCAGTTTTCCAGCCTCAGAGACCAGGAGGAGAAATTTTAGTCTCCTGCCCCTCGGACCCTGAGCTCATTTGAACACACTGATATTGCTCTCGTTTTAAAAATTACTCAACAACAGCAGGGCTGTGACCCAGTTATCGTATAAATCATAGTTTCAGCAGGTATTTTACAAGTTGAGGTTCAGTTGGAACGGCGCACATGGCATCAAATCACAGTCTCCATCAAACAAAACATAATCTACATACATTCTAACACTAACACTTTGTGTACAGCATTTACTGGTTGTGACACAAGCGTCAGCATCGCCCACTGTTGACGGTGCGTCTGTGACATCCATCTGTTTGTGGTCATGACTGGCAAACTGAAGGGAACCAATGGAGTGAGACCTGATTTGGTGTCAAACGGAGGGAGGACTTGGATGAGGCACCGTGTGTGTGGTGCATGCATGTGTGTATGTGTGTGTGTGTGTGTGTGTGTGTGTGTGTGTGTGTGTGTGTGTTTTGGAGCCTGCACTACAGCTTATGGTGTTTATGAGCATCCTAGTGAGAGGTAGCCTTGAGAGCCAGGTCTGAGTCACAGTTGCTGGACAGAATAAAAAGAAGGGACAAGGAATTTTTCCACAGTTCAAAAAAAAAATCTGTTACTGTTTTGACTGATCATAGAAAACAGCTGTGATTTTATCAAAATACCAATGTTTAAAAAAATCCTGTTAAAAAACTATGCACTTCCTCTACAACTCACCGCCCTGTCACCTGCAGACGTTCTCTGACGACTCTGCGATTGTCAGCAGCGAATACAGAGGACTGACGCTACATGCACGTTAGCTTCTCCTATTGCCATGCCTTCAAATCTACAAAACCAAAGAACTGGAGGTAGATTTCTGCAGGCGCAGAATTTTAACTGCTAACAGGAAGAGACTGGATAGACTGATTAGAAGAGCTAGCTCCATCCTGGGATACCCTTGACCCAGTGGAAGGTGGTCGGACAGAGAAGAATGATAGTGAAGCTGTCACCTCTGATGGACAACCAGTCCCACCCCCTGCAGGACACCAACACAGGACTGGGCAGCTCCTTCAGCAACAGACCGATTGACCCAAAGTGTCTGAAGGACAGGTATCGCAGGTCCTTCCTTCCTGCAGCAGTAAGACTGTACAACCAGCTCTGCTCCCAGTAGACAACATGCAACTTAAATGGATTTCTGCACTTTAACTCAAGTTTCACTTTTTATCTGGGCAATATTCATTTCTGTCTGTGAAATGAAATGGCTATTGTGCAATCCATTTCACTGTACATATATTCACACTGTTTGCACTGTATATATTAGTTTTTACTCCATTTATATTGTTCTTATATCTCCTTAACTTCCTTTTAAATGTCCTCACTAATAAAGGATTATCTTATCTTATCTTAAAGATGTTCAAGTAAAAGTGTCTCGTCATATATCCCAAAAGGAATTGCCAAAAAAAAGTCTGAATCATATAAACAATGAGGGATACCTGGTGAAATGGTAAACACAAAATCACTTCAGTCACAAAGAGTGTGACTCCTGTAGATTTTAAATGACTTCAATGACAGTATAGCTGTTTTCAAACATGTCCTGCGAAGCATCTCTGGTGAATTGGCTCCAGACTTTCTTTGCAGTTTGCCTTTCACACATTCCTTTCATATTAACTTCTGCAGACTTTCTGTGGACTTTATACTTGTGGGCCAGGTGAAGAAAGTCAGGAGAAACTCCAGAGGATCTCACTCGCACATTTGCGCTCACACATACATGTACCCTGGTGATACTGCAGAGGATCTCCAGAGTTCAGTGCATGTCTGAAAGCAGCTCTTTATCAATACTGTGAATATTTAAATTACAACTCAGCAGCCAGACTCCTGTAAAAAATAACGTTTATTTGATCTTGTTTTTCTTCTTTTCTCATTTGTAACATGTGATCTATTGCTGTTTGATATTAAAATAGTTTCTTAATGTTTACCTACAATTTTTCATTTTTAACTTGAAATCATGTTTTGAAAGGTGCTATATCAATAAAGTTTGTTATTATTATTTTTATATGAATATTAAGCATGTTTCAGAACAACCTTGTAATTTGATGTGCCAGCAAATAGTATATTCAACCACACAACAAGAAATTAAATGTGTGATTATCGGCTTCTGGCTCATGCACTACAAAATGTCACTTACAGTAAAGGCTCCTGTTGCCAGCAGGCGAGAGGAGGAGCGGATATTTAGTGTGAAATGATGAATTGATCTCTGGTTAACTTATGGACGCTGGACAACCCAGTGGTTGTCACTTAATGATAAATCGATGTAACACCGAGCAACGGGGACAGCGAGTCAAGGACTCGAGGAGGGAGACTTAACACATGATGGATGATAATCATGCATACTATGTGACATTTACACAAGCATGAGATGTGTGTGTGTGTGTGTGTGTGTGTGTGTGTGTGTGTGTGTGTGTGTGTGTGTGTGTGCAAGACACACAGAGAGAGAGAGACAGTAGAGATTTGTGTGATATTTTGGATTTTCTTTTTTAAATTTTAGCAGATAAAAGCTTCAGGTTCTAGTACAACAATACTCATTATGGTCATTTTAACAGGAAAACTGTTCATGTCAGAAACACATCCCACTAAAAACTAGTGCAGACATATGAAGACATGAAACTGCTTCAGTTCACATGGATGTAAGTCTGCTCCATACGCAAATGTTTTACCAGACTGAAATAGTACATCAAAAAAACCTACTATGATAAATATGAAATCCTATCAATGAAAAAATCTTAACCAAATAGTAGTAAATCACTAAATATTGGCATATATTTTAGTTTCATATCTCCATATAATCAAAGGGTACAATGAAAATCCAAGATGCATTCAAATAAGAATGGGGGTCAACATGAATAACAGATTTGAAATGTTAAAATCAAAGCCGAGGCTGACATATCAGCTTCATAACTGTAGCCTACATTTCCTATGATGCAACCAAAGTTCATAACAAAAGCTTCCTAATAAAATGTTGACCTCCTCAAGCTAAAGGAGTTATTATGGACAGCTCCCTCCAGATAAACTAAACTGTCATGTTCACTGGCAGCTATGATGCATTTCCACCACTTGACCCTATGTAGAGCTTCTGTACAGATCAATACAAGCTGTGCACGTTCTGTCTCTCCAGATGAATTCTGATACAGAGCTAAAATGCCGACCTTTAAAACAAGTGTTTTAAAAATTAAGCGTAGCTTTAAGCTCTTTGTGAACTCCATCAATGCTGACAGGGATCAGCAAATATTGCTCTGCATCAGGTATAAATGATGGCTGATGAATGTTTAACCACTGCTGTCAATGGCTTTTAAGTCTGATGTTTTGATTGATGCTATCATCTCATAGTGGCAGTGATGATTTCTGAATTCAAATTTTTTTCATCAGAAATGCACATTAATATATTAAATCACTTGATACCCTAATATTTGTATCAGGCTTTCTGATGACACAGAGGCAGCACTAATTTCACATTTTTGGTAAATGAATACCAGAGGAGCTATTCATTTAAATGTTTAAGTTAATCTGTTGTGGTCGTAAGTCTGTCCTCAGCACTAACAACATGAGCAGTCTGACTGAGAAACACAAGCACTGCCAATCATATCTCTTCACATATTTGTGTAACTCCCAGTATATCTCAGGTATATGCTCTGTAGCAAAGAGCTAATAGTTTAAATGTGAAAACAGTAATCTGGCCAGTTTGTCTAACAAATGAAACGTGAATGCTTTTCAAGGCAAACTCTCATCTGAATTCAGCAATGGAACAAATTCTTGGTTTTCAACAGCAGTTGCACTCACCCATCTCTGTTTTCGTCTTCATCTGCGTTGGAGAGGAGCTGTGATCCGGCCAGCGAGAGGTCCAGAGCAGCGAGGGGAAGATCTCTGTAGCCAAAACTCACCAGCTGGACCGGAGGAGCCAAGCACTGGTTCTCATCCTCCATCGGCTGAGAGATGATCTCCAAGTCCGACAGACCTGCCTGCTCCGCTTCCCTATTTACAAGCCAGCACCAGCAACACAGAGACAAAAGACCCACACACACGAACACAGAAGAAAGAGAGGCCCGCATTACTATAAAAGAACAAACACGACTCTTACATCACATCATCTACTTCCTCAAATCATTTCTTTAAGTATATATGGTGCATTTTAGTTATCAGTAATAAAAATGTGCCTATATAACCAACTAATAACTAATACAGCAGAAGAAATGTATGTGTATGAGAACAAAATAGTTCCAATTAACACACAAACACAGACTTCAATTATTCAGCCCACCAGCATCGCCTTGACACACATCATTATTATTATTATTTACAGTGATGGGGAGAAAACAAGCATGCATGTGTGTGTGTGTTTTGATCCACTGCCATCCAGTAGTAAATAAATATAATGTACAATGACACAACTCAAATCAAAATCTAATAATAAGACACAAGAGAAGAAGAACTTGAATAAATGAGAAGAGGAAGAGCAAAGATGATAATAAGATGAGGATATTAACATGTACATTCTTATTTTATTGTTTAAATCAGGGACAATGTTGTCATGAGCCACATATTAGCTCATCCACTGCTACAGCAACGTTAGCTTGCAAGCTAATGTAAGGTATCTCTAAGTGGGTTATTTTCTCCATATTAGCTGATGCTCATAATTAATGTGAATGTTCTGTCAAATAAATTGAGCTGAGAAATATTTATTTTAGATTGAATTATATATGGTAAAGTTTACATATATTTATGTAGAATTGTGTTGCTGTGTTGTGAATCACCTTGACAAGATGTCCACCGTTAATCAAATAAAACACAAGACATAAGACGTATGAGAATTGAAATGGTAAATTTGGTTAAACTTACAAAATTACAAAATTTATATTGGTTACAGGTTTATCCATATTTTCTTTTGATGAAGGCAGAGTTCAAATTCCCCCACAAATGAAAGGTGAACCTAAGAAAGAGGCTTGCACTTTGATATCAGTAAACCCCCCTCTAACCCCTCATCCTGCAGCTGGAGTGTTTAAATCGTATGGAGGCTGCTTGGTCTTGGCCTATCAGCGTGTAACCCAGCGTGCCCACAAGCCCCAGTTGTGTAAAAGCTGGGCCATCTCAGTGGAGCGTGGAGGTGGAAACAAACATTGAGTGCAGCTGCAGACTGACTGCGTGTGTGCCCTGTGGTGTGTATTTTTAGACCAGAGCAGATGCTGGTGTATCACGTCTGCTGTGACGTCATCAGCTCTCCCTTTGTCAGCTGAGTGGATCCCCACTCTCCCTCAAACGTCAAAGGAAGTCAGGAAAAAAAAAAGGAGGGGGAATGAAGAGAAGTAGTTGTATAGAAAAATGGGATGGTATAGGGAGGACTACATAAGAAAGACAGAGGAGGGTGATAAAGACTAAGTTTGCAACCGAAAATAAAAGAAGAGATGGACACTAGGCTGAAACTAAAGAGAGGGAGAAGAAAGAGTGGGGGTAGGAGGAGAACAGAAGGAGTGGAAGTGAGATGTGGAGATGATATGTAAAAGTAAGGGAGTGGATAAGGAAGGATGAAGAAAAGTGGCACAGTGGAAAAGGGAGTGGTAGTGTAGAGGTGAAAGAGGAGAGATGGTAACTCCATTTTCTCTTTAATAAATGAGAAAATAAGGAGAGGAAAAAAAGAACATGCAGGAGGAGGATAAAACTATCAAGTCTTAAAAGTACCAATATCAAAATCTCACCTATCAACCATATGATACAGTTTATCAATCAGAACATAGACACTTTGTTATCACATGATATTGCAGTTTTTCCTCATTTTGAATGATGGCTGAGAAACGCAGAATAAAAATATAACATTTGAAATGTCTGTGTGGAGGACGAATATTAAGCAGCAGCCAGTTGCTCTACGCAGATACACCTTTCAGTCATCTTCAAAACTGCTGTGACAGAAAACAGAGAGTGACCTGAAACGTTCAGAGGAGATGCACGCAATCTGACAGACAGACAGACAGGCAGATAGATATACCTTTAGGAAAGGGCGGACAGATATAGCAGATATCCCACCAACACACGCCACAACCATGGTGTGTGTGTGTGTGTGTGTGCCTGCGTGTGGGGGTAGGGGAATGATGAAGTCATGCCACCAAGGCTGATCAGATCTTAACTCTCAAGGTGACCGTTATGCTACATGGGAAATAAGGTCAGAACCTAACAATATAAAATTCCCAACTAAGTAGTCTACATATAAAAATATCAACAAACATAAACATCACATTTCTTTCACGTTAAATAAAGATGCAAAGCGTACGAGCAGGTGTGAAAACAATCTGGAGCCAACTCCTCTGCATTAGCTGCCGCTCACATAACAAGTATACCCAACACCCAAAACTGTCAGTGGTCAGTTGAATTGTGGGGGGTGTAGTCACTAGGTTTTGACTATGGACTGCATATAAAGATGGATGACATAACAGTTCCCAAAGGAGAATCATCATTATCGCCCCCTAGTTGCTGGCTGCTGTGCATAAACCCCAATCTTCATGTTGGTGGATGGGACATTGACCAAAATGAAAGTCACAGTACACTTCAAATATATTTTTCTCAAACTTAGTTTCTGTTATTTTGGGTAGCTCTTATCTGTGGGATCGTGATGTGGCACCATGGTATCTACTGCGTAACATGGCGGCGCCCGTATCCAGGATATTTGGACCACACATGTGCTGTGGTCCTTTAATGCTGGCATTCAGCTCCACAACCAGTCAACCACAGCCTACTTGTTTTTCACAGGCCATCACAGGCCGACAGAAAGTTGATCCAGCACAAAGGTAGATTACATAACACATAATACATGATACACAATATTTAACTGCCTAATGATTCTTTATTCTGACATAATGTTTAAGACTACAGGCTCCTTTAAAGAGTAGAGGTGGTGCTGTAGCACTTGCTGAACACAGTCTATCATCACTGCATATATTCAACAACAATATCTTTTGTTTTTCATTAATAAAATCATGTTATTGCAGTTTGGTCTCAAGAGCTGCTGCCCTCATCCCAATATGACAGGATTATTTCCCTTGACAAGACGGCCTTACCTGTCTTTGAAGATACATAGATCTACTGTATATAATCCAAAATATAGTCACAGGAGGATGTGATGTTGTTAAATCATGTAAAATGTAATATGTATTATATTAAACCAAATATTAGACTTTTGAGTTTCATTAGGAAACATTTATTTGTCTGTCTTCAGCAATGGCATTATTTCAATAATTTTCATCCAAATAAAATAAAATAAAATAGGAGAATAGCATAGCAGTAATGAGGATGCTGTTAAAAACTAATAATAACCAGTAAAAAATTACCATAAATCAGTGTGAGGCAATGTTTCCCTAATTATTTAATTATCCACTGACTCATATCACTTCTGTTTTCAATGAAAACTTTCCTTCAGTAGTTTCCTGTTCAACATCTCTATTTCTGACTCAGTTCTGCAGCCAGAGCTCCACGAAGAAAATTATCTCCACGACCTTAAGTGCATGAGATGTGACTAATTCCTGAACGCGTGTTTTACTTGGCAGAGAACTGATTCCCTCTCTGAGACTGTGGTCGTACGGTACGATGCCACGGTGGTTCGGCCTGATGGATGTTTTCACTGCACTTCTCCTGCACTCAACATCTCACCCATACCACACCTCTCATCGCTCTGCTCCCAAACAATCAGCATTCTACACATAACTACTCATGACAGACACAAGTTGTCCAGAGTCCACCGGCTCACAGCTTTCAGTAATAATGCTGGTGAGCTGCCTGGCTGCCAGTCGAGCGATCAGGACTGAGTGACCACGGACCAAGTGCTGAGCAGAGTCAGCAGCAGGGTCAGTCATGCAATTAGAGATATTTGAGATGTTTCTCTAACATTAAGTCAATTACATTATTTATCAATTTGAAGTTATATATATATATATAAGTGTTGCATAAAGATATAAGACATTTCAGACTCATTTACAGAGACTGCATTAAAGCTCGTCCTATTCCATTGTGGAATAATGCAAACATTAAAACCATGGTACTATTCCTCAGCTAAGTTTTGTAATAATGGTATGATTTAGCAGTTAAATAATTACTTAAATTCATGATAATGTCAATAGCAAATCCCAAAAGACAAACAGCCTCTGCTTCTAACCAAGGACAAACATAAATACAACATTTGCGTTGTCTTAAATACCAACACTGACCTTTCTGTGCACCCCGGGTGTTCTTATTTAACAGAAAGTAGTGATTGCAAAATCTCAAAAAAACATTATTTCATGGCAAGACTAACAAGACAGCAGCTGCAGAGAGAGGAGCACCCACAGGACAGGAGTGATATTCAGGGGGAGCAGGTTTCCCTGAGGGTGGCAGATAAAATTAAATAGTGGAGTGCAGCATTACGGGCCAGGTAGGAAAGGTCATTATGTGACAAAAGTTGCTCAAGGGATTTCGGTGACCAAAGCAGAAGGTCATGTAAGTAACTGGGGGGCGGGCAGCGCTGGAGAATGTTATTCCTCACACAACAGGAAGCTTCTCGTCTATAACCCTCATGACCCCTGTGTTACAACACAGACTTACCTAATTACCCAAGTCTATCCCTCGGTTTAGAATGAATTTAATTTCATTCTCATTTGTTTCTCTATCAGTCTCTCCTGAATGAAATGTAATTACATCCACGTAGTGTTTATTCTGAACTACACTCCACTCTGTATGCAGCCTCAGTGGACCACAAGATCCACACATACGTCAGATGAGACTGTCTGAGCCTGAGGATCTAAAACAGCACTGACCACAACGCTTGCTCTACATCAGCTGCTGCAGAAAACTTTAGAGAAGCTGGACATTGTTATTCTAGTGTTACCATCTGTTTCAGAATTGTAGAGTTCTAATCTAGAGTCAGACGCAGTTTGAGGCGTAAATGTCAATTGGTGACAGTAGCAGATATTTTAGGCTTCACTTCATCCAGGCTTATATTGGTGCATTTGCAGTGGCTTCATGAGCTAAATAACTTTTTTACTTACTGTTCTGAAAGCAAGGTAAAGACAGTGAGTAATGGTTGTCTTTGCTGCTGACGCACATGCAACATAATATGGATTTCACATCAAAAGATGAAGATGAGGCAAAAGGAAGTCTGTCAGGGGATTTTATCGGCATCCGTCAAACTGTTAAAACCAAGAAACCAGCAGAAAGAAAAATATCACTTTTCTTACTGTGTGCATTCTCAGCCTCACTGTTTTCACCTTCTGGTCTTTTCAAAGCAAAAACACAACTTAATGTATGACACAAATGTTCATGTTGTGCGAGTTAAGACCTATCACGTCGACAGAATTTACAACTGGCCTCAGGTAATTTCTCCGAACACCCAATTCAACTTCCAGAGAAAGTTTTATAATGTCATGCCAGTGGATATTAATGAAGTCTGCCAGGCACATTAGCTCATTAATAATATTACAGATTAAACTATGATGAATTGGTGGACTGCACAATGGACTGTTCTGGCTCTGGTGTGACCAGTCTCTTATCTGACCTTTACAGATGCAAGCCGGAGACGACGCAGGAGACACGGAGACCCTCGTGGGGCAGGGAGAAGACAGCAGACGTACAGGAGCCTCCTTTATAACGCAGAGGTCCATGCACCTTTTTTACAATGTGTCAGTATCCAATAATAGATTATTTTAATTTCTACAGACACTTATGGGAGCGTGGGCCTTGAAAGACTTAATGACTGAGAAGACAGACTTCTGTGGACTTGTGAAACTGACTTTACTGACTGGCTGGTTTCCTCTGCATTGTCTTTTTGCATAAAGTGAAAACACATTCTGTTTGTTGTCTGTGGCATGTTAAGCATTGTGGAGAATTTGCAGCAATAAATATCTTGTTAATGTTTAGTTCAGTAAGAATGAGTGTATAGATAAGATAGATCAGCTTGACAGTATACAGTATATTATAAGAATATAAGGTTAAGTACACTTGTGTAGGTCATACAAAGAAAGGGAGAATTCAGAGTAAGGTTAGTTGGAATTGTTAAATGAATAATCACCCACAAAGAGCAGCGACAAACCAGGCACTTTGCTCGATGTTTGCTCAAAGAATGTTTGTGATGAAAATTGGTAACGACAAATGTCACACGCACCTTCTCAAAAAACCATTGTTTCCTTTATAAAACACCTCTAATGCACATCATGGAGATCCCCTGCTCTGTTTTGTATTTTTTATTGTCATTCGATCGTTAGGTTTGGTTTTCATATTCATTGTTTCTAGGAAAAGAAACATGGTAACAATACGTTTTGAAATGATGCGTCATAAGAAAAAAATTTTTTGAGTGATGCTTGTAAATGTATCTTAATGACATGATCCTCAGTGACTGGGAGCTTTTTCAAGGTGACGAGGCCACAGCAAAGGTAAGAGAAGTCATGTGTTTTACAAAGCATTTTCCCTTTAGACACTACATGATCGTGGCGTCACTGCTGAGGAGCAGAACTGTTTCTCTCATAAAATGAGAGCTCAACAAATGCAGCAATGATTCGGGGCTATTCATCTGGGTCAAGAGAATAAATGTACCCAGTTATGACGAGACAAATTAGAGAGTAATGCTACAAGCCAGCAGAATCACATGTGATGACTGAGAATAATGATTTTCAGTGTTGTCCCTCACCTTATTCACACACACACACACACACACACACACACACACACANACACACACACACACACACACACACAGGCTACAGCACGTTCCTTCAGTGATACATCAGCTGTTCTCACATGGAGGGTCACAGATTAAAAATGGAAAGCTGGGAGAAAACTGGAGATGGAGAAAGAGAAAGTGTTAAGTTGTAATGGTTGATAATCAATACACCACAGGAAGGGCTAACATAGCGACCTGTGTTTACGGCTGCAGAATGGACTCTCTGTAGTCGGGGCTATGTGCAAGTGTGTTTGCATGAATCTGTGTCTCAGTGTTCGCCTCAGTGCGTTTAGCATTCAGAGTGACGAGGGTCAGAGACACCTCAACTGTAGCAGCAGTTGACTGAATAAAGGTCATTGTGCTAGAAACGGAGAAGCAGACATTTGGAAACGGTGAAAGAAAGGTGACTGACTTGAGAGAAATGAGATCAGAAGATGAGAAAAGCAAAGGCATGCTGGGAAAATAAGTATAATCCATAATAATACGCTTCACGTCCTACAGACATTCTGAAGTTCTTGCATTATTTTCCCTCTGCATTTCTGAAGCTTGACAGACTTGTTTTTCCTGTACGTGATTTGGAGTATGAAGACACAATGAGGAAGAGGAGGAGAAAGGATCAGTGGGGAGCACACTATGGGGGCTGTACTTACTCAGCATTAGCCATGATGCAGGGCGATGGAGAAATGAGCGACGTGGTGGTTATCACAAGGTTTCCACTCGGTTCTGCCTGTTTGAGCACTTCACCTTTTCACCTGATGGATGCCACTTTCAGGTTGAACCTGTAAGGAACACGCTTATTAAAACTTCTACGGCAGCAATAATTATAAATGGCAGTGAATATATGAAGGACTTTATTATCATTATTGGGAACACCTTGCTAAAACTGATGCAGTCTGAATCAACCTGGCTTTAAAAACTTGTTTCAAAAGTTGTTTTTTATTTGAGCTTGTTGACAAAAATATACATACATATACCTGTATGTATAATCATATGCACACATACATGTAAGTTATTAGCTTGCAACCTGATCATTTTGATTTTAAAACAACAATAAAAAAATACAGGAATCAGCAATAATAAGAAAAACAGAAAAATGTAAATAATATAATGATCTTGGCAGAATAGGAACTTCTTTCTTTTCCTAGTGTACAAAGAGCAGCTTCTTTGCAATGATGAGACTATTGGATATGAAACATTGCTGGGACTTGATTAGCTTTATAACATCATCAGATACCTCCATAATGTTTTATGGTTCTAACTGAACTTGAAGTATTTGAGATGTTAACTGGAAAAACACTGATGTCTCAACTTTGGGACATTAAATCCTTGAAGGTGTTGATTCAGGTTGGGTAATATGGAGACTGTAAAATCAACCTGATTCATATCAGAGGGTAAAATAAAGTTTTTAGACACTGCATCAGTAACAGTATAGTTTTGATATATGATGATAGTTGACAATTTAACAACTCTGTGTTTAGAAACTTTTTGGTAAAAAAAATTCAAATTGGTAAAGAATTGTCGTTTTTCAGTGCGAGTTTAATCTACACTGATTTTCATAAAGAAAAATGTGTGTTGAAATAGCTTTGACCAAACACTCATCTCAGGGTTTGTCTGTGGGTTCATTTTTACAGTGACATTTGACAGAGATGGGTAATAGGAAACCTCAACCCTAACAGCTACATATGCTTTTCAAGTTTAACTCAAATGAAAACGACACATGATGTTGATAAATTAAATGAAGTATTAAATTGACAAGTGTCACTAAAAGACTGGAACTTCAAACATAACTTTTTTTTAATTACACCCCATGGTTTCCTATTCATCCACATAGTTCATAGTACATTATGCACATGTGAGGAAGCTGGCTACATCTCTCTCCATAGCAGTAATAGCAGATACGATAAAGCTGCACTGCTTTTCTTTGCTGCCATAACAGAAACTAAGATGATAGTAGTGTGAGAGCTGCTCTCTACATACACGTCTCATATATTGGAAGCAGAGGACCTACCTGTGTGAGATTTACATTGTTGGCGGGTTACTGTGCCTCCCCTGGCTGGTAGTGATGTCTCCCTCGGTGGTGTTGGTGGTGGTGTTGGTGGTGATGTGAGTGAGTGAAGCAGCAGCAGACTCACAGTGTGTGTAGGCTGCAGCAGCTCTCCTCAGCTCTCTTGCATTGGTCGAGCACCACCACCGCCGCTGCTGCTGCTGCTGCTGCTGCCCGGGCTTCAGTGTAAAAGCGATGAGGGGCTGGAGCTCAAACGCAAGAAGAAGCATCGTCACTAGGCGAGATCATGTTGGGTTTTTTTTTTAAGTGATATGAGAGCGATCGAAGGACGACTCCCCCTCCTCCCCTCCTGGAGGCTCCAGACCCCGGGTCTCCTCCGCTGCTCCTCGGTGGAGAGGGGGGGGTATCCCCGGCGAGCGCAGCGGGGAACCCTGCGAGGAGGAGCTGTCCACGGTGCTGGAGCCGCGGCTTCTCCGGGCTCCCACAGCAGCAGCTGAGCGAACAAGAGCAGCGGTCCTCAGCCAAACGCCATCCGGAGCCGGAGACTGACAGCAGCCAAGGAATCCCGTGACATTTTTTTTTTGCGTCGCTCCGGTCACGACATAACCAAGTGTAAAAAAAAATGGTAGCGTGGACGTGCGTGTGCGTGTGCGTAGTTCCCCCCCACTTCTCAATCGAGGCCTAATTTACTGGGGATAATCGCCCCGGATGGTTTTATCAGCTTTACGCCTGGTAGGTCGTCCCTCTCCGGGTCTTGAGTGAGGTTTTTTTTTTTTATGGTTTCCCAAAATAAAGATACTATGGGAATATAAATTGTCTTCGCAGCAATTGGCTTAACCGTTTGTCATTCACAGGGATTAGCCAGTCGATGGTTAAAGCGCACATCAATCAATCGCCAGCGTCTCTGGCTTCATCTGAACACGCCTGGACGTGGGCTGCAGGAGATGTTATAGGCTGAGGCTCAACATTTCTGGGTTGTGCGCAAAAAATAAAAGGAAAAAAAAAAGATGTGCACGTCGCCGAGGGGACTCAGGAGGTGCCTGGGTTAAAAGATGCTGCTGAGATGGTTTCAAAGAGTGGAAGGGGGGGGGGGATAAAAAAAGGGGAAAAGGCACATGTCTACTTACTGAATGTTTGTCATTTTATTATGGAGGAAAATGAGAACAGATATGATTTGGCACATGTAGAAAAGTGCATCAACACAGAAACAGGCATTGCTAAATTTGCCATAAACTTAAAATACATTTCCATTTCCTCTTCACACACTCTAGTGGCAGATGTGTACATTATGATACAGAGAAGGAAGATGCTCCTAATTTTTTTAAGTATTGGGCCGTTCTTGAAAAAACATCTGTTCTCACAACAATCAGTGTTGAAGCTTTTTACAGTTATTGGGCTACTGGGCAAAAACATAGATAAACTGGAAATTGCACCTTATTGTCATCTGGACTTAATTCTTACAGAGGAAAAAGCAAGACATCAATCAGTGTCAAGAAAGAAATGTAGACATGAAAGTTGCAGCACTACATGGATTTAACTGAGACACGTATTTTATTGGATAAAAGGAACTGTCTCACCCCATATCACTACTTCAGTAAAAAACAGCTCCCATTTGACTTAGGCAAAGCCAGACACTAATTATTTAATCTCCAATGACCTTAAACAGTTCTTCAATTTCCAACCTCCTTCAACTGTCTCATTAAGAAATGTTGGAAGAGCTGCGACTAGTTTGAGGTGAAACTGAGAGTTTCTGTCAGTCAGTGTCACTCACACAGTGAATAAATGTTCATATTCCCTGTACAATTTTTCTTTTGAGCTGCAGTGACTGGGGAGATGGAGCCAGTTCAGAACCAACTCATTTTGTAAAACCAGTCCACATTTTTAACGGTCTGAAATGGAATGTTATGTAGTCCACACTCCATACCAGCTGGTGGCAGTAATGCACCAATCTGTTGTTGGTTTGCTGCCAACAAATCTCAAAAAACGGAAAGACAATGTTACTATGTTAGTTTGAGTCATTTCCATTGGAAAGAAATCCCAGCCAACAGTACAGTGATGCTTTGCTTGCTTTTCATACATTTACTTTACTAAGTAATTACATTTTGCGTTTGAAGGTTTTGAAACCTTCTCACTGCTCAAAATTTCCAGCCGTGGCTCCTCACACAGCTACAAGTACTGGTACAGGAGCAGTTCAGACCGAACCAGGCTATTTTTCGGTGCAAATGAGTGGAACTGGTTCTAGATCAGGCACCAGCACTGCATCAGTGACCAATAAGCCTCACTGCCATCAGGAAGTAGGTAGTAGGAGATATGACTTGACATGTGGATAAAACCAGTCACAGTGAATTCCCTGTGGCCACCTGAACCAAGGTAGATAGAAATCTTGCGTAAGAGTATTAATTTTTAAGCTAACACGTTTTCATTATTCTTGGTAAGACAAGTGTAAAAACCTTAAGAGTAAAACCTTAAGGAGGAGAAAGAGCATTTAAATCAAGATTACCGTGATTCTGTAAAAGAAGAACCACCCTCTTAATACTCACATGAATAAAAAAGTGCTTTTGCTGAATCAACAACTATAATAATAGCTTGGGATACTCAAGTGTGTATCATTTACTCACTTGGAAAGCAAACAAACCATGAACCATCTGAGGGTGAGAAAGATATGCCATCCATCTGTGCAGAATTTGAGAAAAAATATACACATATATTTTAAATGAGTGCTATATCACAGCTGAACTTTAACATAGATGATCAGTTTGTGTTTTTAGGGCCCTATTTGTGAGACTCACTCAGTTTTAATATTAAGCTGTGTTCACACACAGTCTCCGAGGGACATCATTTCCCAAACAATGCCAATACATTAATGGCCGAAGGGTTCATTTCCTGCTTTATGAGCAGAAACGCTGACAGAGATATTCTGATCTGTAATGTGACTAACATTTTGTACAGAATGTTTGTTGTTCCCCAATGCAGTTGCAAACAGGAGTCATCTCTTTTCCTGTTTTTTTTCACCGTTTCTACAGGAAGATCAGTCAGCCTAGATGGACCAGGGTCATGACTGTAGTGTACTCGTGCTGCAGACTGTCCGTTTCAGTATCGCACAGCGTGTAGTCATCTTTGATGATTCGGTCACAGCCAATCTCTCCATTGCCAAACAGGCCAAAGAGCGGGGTGTTGGGGAACACCTTGTGAAACGCGTCAGCCTCTACGTTGGTCTGGTTGTTGTAGTAGCTCTGGCCTCTCCCCACGCAGGCGAACATGAACCCTAGGGTGTTCCTCTCTGGAATTTTGGCTGCCTTTAACCGCCGGATTGTGGCTTCAGCCGCCTTTGGATTGCTGATATCTTGGTCCAAGAGGACAGATGCCCCCTGCACCTTAGAACCACTCAGTGCCAGACCCACCACACCGTGGGCACCCTGGCTACAGCTTCAAGAAATGAGGGGAATAGAAAAAGTGTGAACATTGCAAAGAGTAAGCAGTAGAAATGTTGCTGAAAGTTTAGCTCTAACGATGACATTGTCAATTCAATCAGGACATAATGAGAAGATGAAGGGTGTAAGTGACAGTGAAATACTAATATCAATCTTCAAAATGGAGTGAGGTTGTATTCTCAGACTTCCACTTGTTGATCAAAAAACCCACGGGTGCGCACAAGAATATGGCTTTCAATTAAATGACTGTATGTAAACACGGCACACATGCAGTTTTTAATCACCTCTGGCACTGATCAGCATAGACAGAAATGAAACAGTCATTTGAATGCGCTAATTTTGACAGCGAGTTGAGAGAGCGCTTTAGCTGTCGGTGCATTTGTGACATCAAACATGGCGCACACAGGAAAAGACAAGAGCGGCAAACTCCTCTAGTAGCGATGGGAAAGGAGTCAATAGCCTCTTTTAGAAGGTTTTCTATTTAAAAAAAAACCCTGGGTATTCGTGCTAATTTTGGCGGAAAGAGGTATAGCTCACCATTGTCTGGGAGGAGAGAAGACACTTTCCACCAGGCCTCCAGCGATGAGAGCTTTGCTCTTGGACAGCTGCTCCAGCAGCTGGCTGAGGAAGCGTGCTCCTCCAGGTTTATATGCCTCATAGACAAACAACAGTACCACACGAAGCTCTGGGTTGTCAACTAGTCCTGGAGAAAGCACAATAAATACAACACTGATACAAACACAAGTTCTGACAGACTTCACAAGATTTATATATATATGTATGTTTATATGAGTCTTCACTCACCTGCTTCTTTCAGGGCACTCGGAGAGATGGACTTCTTACAGAAGTGAAAGGGCTTGATGTGGACACCCTCCATGCTGGGCAACATGATCGCAAAGCCCGCCTCCCCTTCCTGGTGCTCCTGAGGAGGGGTGGAGCTAGGGCCACTGGGAGTCACTGCACAGAGACAATAAGGCACCATTCAGAAGTTTGTTTTTTACAGTCCCTGACACAAGTATGTTGTGAAGGAACAAATTCAATTAGATTTTATTAGTACATCAAAGCACAACATTATCTCAGGGCACTTTACATAGTAAGGTCAAAACCTACAACATTCTACAGAAACCCCAAGGTTCTCACAAAGAGCAAGCACTTAGAGACTATGGAGAGAATAAACTCCCTTTAAACAAAGATTTTTTGACAAGTTCACCTATGACCAAAAAGACACAGTTGACATATAATTTGCTTCGTCTGAAAAAACATATGGTTTTGGTAACCCTGTTTTCATGAGATGTGTGGAATATGGATGGACTTGGCCTGTGGTTGTTCTATTTCTGTACAGATTACTTGAAAGAACCTTAATCCAAGTGTTTGTTACTGCAGTATTACTTATAAAAGACCACAGGGAAAACAGTCATAGCTGTAATTAACAACTCACAGTTCCTTAAACCACAGCCTAAGCAAGGACCACAAAGTTACATAAACGTCAGGAAAATCAACACACAAGCTCCTGTGTAATTCCCCTATTCTTAATAAACAGCACACAATCAAGGATGAGCTACCATGCAAATGAGAAAACATCTGCTTTAAGCATTATAAACATCATTAAATGACCCTCATTCACCACACTCACACTTTTTAGTTACTAGGGTTTGAGACTGTGCTGAGATAAAACTGATGGGAACTGAACTCAAAATGAGCAAACACTGCACATTATAATGTCATTTATCCTCCACCATGTTTCAGGTTATGGAATTAATAAAGGATTATGCAGAAATACTATGTGCAGGTAAATCATAAATCATATTTTTAATACTATGCAGCCTTGCACCCATTGTGCATAAATTATTAGATGTATTACAACAAATCCATAAGTTCAATCCTATCCAATCAAAGGTTTAATTCAATTGAATTCGATTTATGTGATGACCCTGCGCTGACCGTGAGCTGCAATACCACAAAATGAGTGTTATCACAAACAGCCGCGGCTGCCATTAAACCTGATATACGACGGGAGCCTGATAAGCCATCATCTTGAGGAACGAGAACATGGCTGATGGAGAGTTGCTTCTCCGGAGGGTTGTGATTATATAGAGAAATGGGGAGCACAGCACAGAGCAGACGAGGCAATCTATCAGAGGCAGCGGCAGGGAAGTGCCAGCCACCGCTGGTGCTTTCCAACAAGGCAGCAGCAACATGGGGGATTAATGCATAGTCTTTGCTGCTGAAAGAAACTACTCGTCTTAGGAACTCAACACGTGACTTATTTTCATTCTAAATAGTTGAACAGGATAGGATCACATACTTGTACCATCACAAAATCTGAAGCTCATTTAAGAAACGTTTTATGTTAGTAATGGGTTAAATGACTCCCTGTATGTGGATTTAGAAGAGAGAGACAGAATAAGAGAAGAACACTTACAGACTATTCCTGGGGTAGCAACGCCCATGATGTCACAGCCTTTGGGGAAGAGCAGGTTCAGTTCTTCGACTGTGTCTGGACTGTGACGACTCTTTTTTGCTTCAGAATAGTTAAGGAAAGAAAACGTTAATGAAACAGGTTGCTGTTCCTATAATTTCAATCATAATTTAAACATATGCTGGAATTTAAAAACATCTTTGGAGCAGTACATTCTGAAAGATTTACACCAGCTGAGCACATTTCTTTTAGCAATAAGAATGTAAATCTACTTTTCTTTCTTCTTTCTAAATAGAAATTTCCATTGAATACAAAAAATAAATAATTTATGATGTATATGAAAACCAATACAACAAGCTGATAGGAAAGCCAGTCATTGTGCAATGTAAAAATGCATCTAACCATAGGCGTTCTATTATGTCACACAATGTATTCAACTCTCTCCCACTAAAACAAACCTACTAGTGTAACAACAACAAGCAAATGTTGAATGAGAACTTTGACATGTTCCACCTTGTTTTAAGTGGGGGGTCATGGTAGATTTGCCATGATACTAAAAGTACCTCTCACCAGCCAGCATCAAAATCAAAACTCTGCATTTCCTGAAAGGTTTGTCATTTTTAACTGCTTAAAGATTTTTTCCGAGCCCACATGAACAGCATCCTGTAAGTCAGCCTCAGTGTATTTTTGTGCTTCAATATTCATGCTTAACAATCACTGACTGACTTGCACACACCTGAATAAAGTCTGTATACCCACAGTATCTAGATGTTAACACCCTCAGTTATGACTCAAACCTATGTTAGTTAGTTTTTAATTTGAGAGAGCAAATAACCAATGAACAGAGACTACTATTATAAAAAGCATCCTTTCACTAAATATGAGCTAAAATCAACATAAATATACATATGAACCTGCAGATAAATGTCTCATATAACTAAAGGTTTCTGTCAGTACAATAAATGTATACATTTTTCAGTCTGTCTGCATCTTCTTAGATATAAACTATGCAAGATGACAAGATTGTTTTAAAGCTTTCCTCTTTGCTGATTCCATCCAGATGCAAGATCGTCTCTGTAAATGTGTGTAAATCATACTTATTACAAGGCGCTCTATACCTTCCACACAGTTTTCCGAGGCAAATACAAATCTTTCTAATGAACAGATGTGATGGTGTTCATATACGTGAAATAGAATTTGTTGGAAATACCACAGGAAATCACAAGGCACTTTATTTTTCTCTCTGTTGACATTTTGTATTTTCAACAAATACATCTTTTGGTATGGATGCCAAATGCTGCCTTTGTATAAATTATTTTGACATTTTTAACTGTTAAGATACTAAATTACTAAGCAATATTGAGTGACAAAACAATGAATATAGTAAAAAATTATGTAGCACCACTTACCCACACAACTCGACGCCACAAAATTGACGTATTCTTCTTAATGAACACAAAGCAACAAACTACTGAAGCACGGTCATACATTGTTTAATACCAACCTTTACTCTGTCTGTAGCAATAAGCTTGTCCAGTAAAAGCCTCACAGTCTACCATCGCCAACACTGTTTTAGGCAGGAGAAACACTTTCTGTGAATGAGAAGATTCAAGAAATGTGTTAAAACAGTGTAAAGAAACTGAACAAGCGTGATCATGCCTTATGATTCAAATTGTGCAAAACCTTCAAATAAACATGCTGCTCAAACTAAAACATTTCTCTTATGTAATCGTTCCGGTTCGGTCCGGTGGACTAGTTCATCCAAGACTTAAAGGTCCAGTGTGTAAGATTTAGGTGAAAGGGATCTATTGGCAGAAATGTAATGTAGAATAATCCTCATGATGTTGTCACTAGTTCGTTTCATCTAAATTGTATGAATTGTAGTTTTCCTTATCCCAGAAAAGGCCCTTTATATTCAAATACTTTATATTCAAATACTTTATATTTACATGGAGGGGTCCTCTCTACGGAGGCCGCCATGTTTTTTACATTAGTCCAGACTGGACAAACTAAACACCTTTTGAGTTTTTATGACAATTAAAGCTTCCACAGGTTCTTTTTCATGTTTGGAAGGAGAGGGTGAGGTGAGGGGTGTTCAGCTACAACATGCAATTTCAACACTAGATATCACTAAATTCTACACACTGAACCTTTAACACCAGGATATATTAAGTTGAACACGGTCCTCTACATACTGTTTAATCTCGAGTTTACAGTCCAGAGAAGCCCTCTGTCAGTATTCAGTGGGTGCTTGGTATTTACCTCCACCTCCTCAGCCAGGATGCTGCACAGGGCATGGACCTCAGTGTCGGACGGTCCACAGGCTGACACCCAGGTGAGCTGCTGCTGGGTCCTCAACACACGGCGGGCACAGTTTCTCCACAGCCTGCACACACTGAGGAGAACCACAAACAAACTTAGCTTCACCTGCTAGCCACACAAAAACTTAGCAGCCAAGTTAACGAGCTGATGTTTCTGTTAAAAATACAAATTAAAACAACGCTACAAAGCAGCTCAGACACATAAACACCAGACGCACTGACGCGTTAGCTTCCAGTCTGCTCTGGTGTGTCTGGAGATACAGTTTCACTTCCATCGGCGCTGCCATTAGCATTAGCTAACGTCACATTTCCCTTTACCTTGCGATCCGGAGGAGAGGTTTGGTTGGTAGGAAGGTCAGAATCCGTTCCACCACTTCAGCCACATTACTGAGCACGTAGGTTGCTTTGCTGTCTAATAGAGCAGCAGCGAAATCCTGATTTTCATCCATATTTCTCTCAAGTTTCGAGATTCCTCCAGCACGGCCGCTCAGCTGTGAACTTTCAACTCCGCCTCTCCGCCGCTGCCGAGACACAGCGCCCTCTGTGGCGAGGAGGTGCTGCGGCAATTTAGGTTTAGATTAACTTGTTTGAATTGATAACGCGCTTTGTTAGATAATGTTTCCTATGACCGTGTCACAAGAAAATATACATCTGATGCACAATGTTTTTTTTGAAATATTGTTCTTAATGTTGCTTTTTCCTGCAGAGTCTCTTTAGCACTACTCATATAAACTATTATTGAGCAAACCCAAAGCCACTCATTGCCTAAAAGCTCACTGTGATCCACACTGAGGTCACAGTCTGTAATAAGGTCATTGGCAGATACCTCATACTAGTTTTCTAAGTTTTGGGGCTTGCATAACAATACTTATTACTTCCTCTGTCCCTGTCCATTTGCATTGGATTGTCTATCTCATTCTGACTTGCCTGCTGCTGTAACAACTGAATTTCCTCAGTGTGTGGGTCAATAAAATTTTAGCTTATCTTAAACAAGATTGCATGAAAACTTTCAGAGGGATCATCATGAAACGATGCGGTGTGGGTTAGGGAAGAAGCCATTCAGTTTTGAAGCAGATCCGATCAGAGAGCCGATCCATGATTCCCCCCAACTTTCCTTTATCAGCTATTTTTGAACATTTGTGATTTCTCAGAATATGTATGGATCTCCACAGAACTGTTAAATGCATGTTAAGAGGATTGGTATCTATAGGTGTGTGAACTTTGGTGCAGATCCAATAAAAATAAAAAATAAATCCAGATTAGTGTATTTAAATGTAGTTTTATAAGGGGACTGTTGGGCCTTGGCGGTGGTCTGCACTCTGAGCATCATTCTTGCAATTTACTGTCATGAATTGATGCAACAAAATGGGAAGTTGTAGATGGCACACAATGCTACATTTTAATTACAAGTGGTACTTCAGCTGTAAAGGTTTACTAGATTACTTCCATTGCTAACATACATTTTAAGTATAGACAGTTTCATATTAAAATAACCAGAGTTGCTCAACTGACGTGTAACATTTTCACATATGTCTACCTGACAGTATTGAAAAACATTTGTAATGATGCTAGACTTAGTAAATTATACTTCAACAATTTATTTATGATCTTTACATTTCCAAGATAAAATGCGAGAGACAAATCAAACATCATCAGTACCTCAAAATGAACAGAGAAGTGAGTACAGTGCAGACATTTCTCTCACTCAGCTGGAACAAAACATCCGAGCAACTATGCTAAGAATTCCTTCTTTGCTAAACTGGAAGTGCATGATGCCACTGACAGTGAATACATGTTTACAATACAGAAGAATCAAAGACAAAGAAGCAACTTTACAAAAGTACACATAATAAAAGTCCCTTTTATGTAACCTTGGCATAACTTATGGCTTTGATCATGATGGTTATGTGCTAGATTTTCCCCCCCAAAAAGTGCAAATTCTTTAAACAAACAAATAAACCTATTAAAGACATAATAGGTGAATTGTAAGTAACCTTTGAATACAGTGTGTGAGGGAAACAGAGGCGCTATAGAAGCTGTCTGTGCTACCTTGTGTTGAGTATGGTTCTTCAGGACAACAAGTTCAGAGGGGACATAGAAACACAACTCCTCACATTTTCTGTAGTAGTTGTATATGGGAGCCAGCCATATTCACAGCAGAGGAGGCATCGTGGGGAGGGGAACAAAGCTGGGTCAAATGTTAATCATCTCCATTAGAGTCTGATCCAGCATCTGTTTTACCCTCAGGCCTTCTTCTTGAGCACGTGTGAGTTTATCTGTTAATATAGCATTGCATCAGTTAAACATCGGAGAACAAACAGCGCAGAGATGCACAGAATATAGCAGACAAAGCTCTGGTCCAGGTTAATAGACAGTGTTAGACTTTGGTTGGATATTGTTGCAAACTTTAAGAGTGTGAGGAATTTAAACTCTATGTTTTCCCCAATAATATGTTAACATTCAATAAGCAAATACATTTCCCCAACTCAGATACCCTGAGCCAATCCCACAAACTCAACTTCCATTTTAAAATGTTATCTTTCAAGAATATTGTAAATATCAAACTCAATCTTAAGGCAAGGCTGTAGTCATGACTGCATGGGTTGAGTTTAGGACTAAATATCACCCAAGGCAAATTGTTAGTTTTCCAAAATCTGATGCTCTGATGAGCTTAAGTATTAAGTTCAAACACCCCAACCATGCAGTTTTAGAGAGAAAAAAAGTAACTTCAAAAAAACAATATGAGCACCAATCTGAACACTAATAATGAGACAAAACTCGAGCAAAACTCTCTCCCTTAGCCTATTTTCACTCAAATATGTTTAACTTGGCCCTACAGTGGTTCAAGAACATGACTTCCAGCTATGAAAGACTTTGACTTCAACTGGTAGAAACAGATATTGTGATTATCTCTACATGGGTCAACGGTCAGTACTTAATCCTTACTGCTACATGCAGAATCAAACTACCTCTGCCAAAATGTTCAACTGTGTTAGTAATAGATTTGTATCAATTGAGGTTTTGTTTTAGGTGTTTATGCTCATTGAAAAATATATCTAAAGATCTACCAGGGAGAGTTTGAGTGACAACCTGTCAAGCTTTCTCGGAAATGCCTGAGAGCATCACAGGGTTCAGAACCATGTCACCAAAATCCAGTGTTGTTAAAGCAAAGCCTGCACAAAAATACTGAAAGTGCCCTGATCAAACATAATTATACTGATTAAAAATGTACTCCCACTCAAATCAAACTTGAAATAAAACCAAAATGATTGGTTGAGTTCTCCCTGTAAAGCTGAACAAATGCATTCTTAATTTTGGTTGATGCTTGATCATTTGTAATGAAAACTTTTCCTTGTTTTTTGAGGTGGGTTCTGGGATGCAGAAGAAATTCTAGTCCACGAAAACATCTGCATCATCAGTCTACACCCCCCAAACAACAGCAGTAGATTTCTACTGGATTCATGCGCTACAGCCCTGACAATGAGGATATATATCAAATCCATTCTGTAACTGTTCATACCTGAGGGTGTCAGGTTAACCTCTGGTGTTTGATCATGCATAATGTGAAAATCCTTCCACTTCTTACTTGTTGAACGAAATGCTTGGTTTAGTTTAAGTTTTGTGTCAGAGAAACAATTGCCTATGTTCTTTTTTTCAGAAAACTTGAAGCAAATGAGAGCCCACTCCAGTTTAGGCCTCGTTTAAGGCTACTCTCAGTTCATTGGTCAGAAGGCGGTTTTTCTCAAGCTGCTTGTATAGATGGTCTTGTCAGTCAGAAAGCAAAGAAGAGAAAAGGGAAAGAGACAGAAGGCAGGTTAGTACAGACAACAAAGAGTTAGTGCTGGTGTCATGTCTTCATCATAAAACAAGTGTTAGTTTGCATTAAAGATCATAAACAAACAACAACATTAATTACTCATCCTGTTAATTCCTACAGGACAAACACGCTAAGCTGATGTCCACATTACTCAAACATAATTAAAAAAGAAAAAAGTGTTTCCACCAATAGAGTGTTACAGTGGATGCCCACTTCCAAAATCAAATCTTCCATTCATATTTTCTTGAATTTAATTTTGTTGCTTATATCATGTTGCAATATACTGTGATTTGTGTATTGTATGCAAGTCATATAGTGTATAATAACCCAGCCGATCAGAGCAGACATGATTTTCGTGATACGCAAGCTCCACCTATCAGATACGTTGCTATTACACTTTAGGATTGTGGGTAGTGTAGTACCAATTTGAGAAAAAAAAAAACACTGTTGATATCAGGGACTGCTACAAGAGCTGTTGAGCTCTATAGCCTGGAACAAGCCAACAAGTTGGTGTCCAATGAATATTCCACGTTCAACGTTAAGGGTTTTTGGTGCAGGGAATCAAGCTGAGCTCGTCAACTGGAAACAAATTCCCTACATGCTCAGACACAAAATGACTGTTTGTTTAGTTGCACTGCAAAATAGCTGTTAGCTTATTTATCAAATTGCACTTCCTGTTGCTATCTTAACCACAGTTGTCACCATCTTTAAATTTAAGTCACCTACTAATGCAGCTAATCAGTGACAGAAGTACAAAAGACTGAATAAAATAACTATCAAAGCAGGTAACCGGTTCACCATGCTGTGGTGCCATAGTCTTCCAAGTCAGAGGAAAAGTGAGAGGACAACAATCGTCTTTTACATGAACACTAGTTTGCAGGATTAGTTACCACCAACTATTGCAATTATACCAAGTAACGGTCCTCTCTGAGAGAAAAAGGAGCAGTGAATGGGAGAGGAGCTTCAGAGTTTATTCAAAGGCTACTCGACAAAATAAATTAAACACATTAGATAAAAATTGAAAAAAAGTAAAAGATGGGACAAATGGAAATGAAGAAACATGGCAGGAGAAAAGGGGAAGGACTGACATAGATGGAAGAATGTTTATTTTACAGAAAGTAATACGGCTCAAAAGGTCTGTATGAGATATGGACAAATGGATGATGGCAGCGACCGCCCACTGTGCAGAAGTGGTGGGGCAGTAAAGAAATACAGAGACAAAAGGAGACAGAAAGTTGGGCAGCGCTGCACAGGATGAGAGATGAGGATGTTCAACCAGCTTCTGGAGTGAAGAGTGTAAAAAATTTAGCTGTGGAAAAAAAAGGAGAACAAAAGTGTTGGAAGGAGAAACAACAGGAGGAATGGAAGATAAACGTCATGCAAAACCAAAGTAGAAAAAGGGATGCAGAAGTAAGAGATAAGACAAAAAAAAAGATTGGGAATCTTTTGAGGATAAATTGCTATGTTGCAAGACACCAGAAGTGAAATCAAGCCAAAGAGCCAATTTATAATAATCTATAAAATCTATAAAACACATTCAGTCCACAGCCAAAACAATGGTAACAAGCAGTTAGGTTAGGGAGGATTTAAGAATTTAAAAAAATCAATGCCATCTACATTTAGCAGTAAAACTCACTGCACCCAAACATGCCACAAGAGGGAGCTATTGTACGTTGGCAAAGTTGTTAGAGGGATAGATATCTAAGGCACAAAACAAGCATGTGGTGAATTACATGGAAGTCATGTCGTTGAGGGCGTGGTCCAGCTCCTCGCTGATGGCCTTGTACTTCAGTTTCTGGGCATACAGCTCATCTATTGTGTGGTGATTATTATGAGGAGGCAGCGGGGGATTTGAAATAAAATAGAAAAGACAGAGAAAAAGAATAATAACGGAGTAGTCAGAGAACAGAAGTCAAAAGGGCAACACAAATGGAGAAACTGAGTAAAAAGGAGCAGGACAGAAATAGGAAGGGTACATGGAACAGCTGCTGATGTTGTGTCAGATTCTTGAGGAGTCAGAGAGAAACTGCCTCACATGTTCCGTGACCCTGTGAAGGCCGCTCGCGACTCGTTGGCCTTGTACAGTCACTACAGCAGAATGCCAAACAGCACTGCCGTGAGAAATCATTTTGCCAACATGAACAATATCACGCTGGCCTCTGAGGATCACTGATTTGTTTCTTCTCTCAGCAGGAGAGAAGTGACAGTACAGATATTTAACCCAGGGACTCGAACATCCTGCTGATCAAATAAATAACCTCAAACTTCTGCACCGTTTATAAGAAGGAAACTTTATCCTTTGTGAGCGTTCCTTTGTGAAAATGTGTTTTAGGATATAAAGAACACTGTACGGGTTACTTTTTTGTGCCGACTGGTTGAATACAGTAAAAACCAAATTACATTTTGTGAAAAATACGAATATAAACTCTGCAAGTGCCAAAAAGGCAGGTGGATGAGATTCATACCCTCAAGGTCATCAATGGTCTTCTCAAGCTTGGCGACAGATCTCTCAGCAAACTCAGCACGGGTCTCAGCCTGAGGGAAGGGATACAGTCAAACATTAGCCATTCCCATTGAGAGGTTTACATTTACTAACCACAGCCTTAGACAACCACTAAAAAGAAATATATAGTCCGCCTACTTAAGGCCTTAAGAATTGACCAGAGAATAAAAATGCAGGATGAACTCACCTCCTTCAGCTTGTCTGTGAGCACCTTGATCTCCTCCTCGTACTTGTCCTCCTTCTGCGAGTACTGTGGTTACACACAAAGGGCAGAGTAAGTCAATATAATCATAATGTTCTATTGTTTATACTGTGGATCATTTGCTGTGAATCGTCTCTGTCGGCCATCTTACCTTCTCTGCCTGGGCCTCCAGAGACTTCAGGTTGTTCTGCACGGTTTTCAGCTCCTCCTCCAGCTCAGAGCACTTGCTATTAATTTTAAGTTTGGTAGAAGAAGCAGCAGATAGAAAGAGAAATGTAAGAACTTTTAAACATTGTGACTTTGGAGAAACAGATGGAAGGGAGATGGAAGGAAACGTTTACCTCTCAGACATCTCAGCACGCTCCTCTGTACGTTCCAAGTCGCTCTCAATGATCACCAACTTACGGGCCACCTAAAGTCACAACATGCAAAGTTTAGTCGCACACTAGTTCTACACATTCATGCACAATCAGAAAGGATTCAATTCTTTGATGTATTGTGACTCTGCAGCAACAATATTCATCTGACAGTAGACAGCCACTGATGTCAGCTGTGACATTCAAGTGAAAGCATGTAGCACTAAGTTCACCGTGAACAGCTGAGACACTTGCCTCCTCGTATTTGCGGTCAGCCTCCTCAGCAATGTGTTTGGCCTCCTTCAGCTGGATCTCCTGCAGCTCCATCTTCTCCTCGTCCTTCATTGCCCTGTTCTCAATAACCTTCATGCCTCTGAGGGAAAGAAAAAGCTCGGCAGGTAAGCACAACAGCAGGCCAGCATGAAGTGGTTTGTCTGTGAAAGTGTATATCTTTCAGTTCACAGGGGAGCATGTCTCCTTGATTTAGGCAACAAGTGTGACCGGAACATCCAATTGTCGAACTAAGACATCTGAGTTTTCCTCAAAATACTCCAAGTGTACCACCTCTTCTACTATTGATCTTGAGTTTTACTGCATCAGTAATGAAGACATTTATATATCAATAATTCTAACAAGGGAAAAATAAATAATTTAGTCCTGCCATTATGCTGAAAATCATTAACTGCTTTTCTGTTGTTTAAGTACATACATACAATATAACTTTCAGCCACTTGTTGCAGGGCTTAGCCAAATGTTAATGGAGTAGCTCAACAAAATCATGTATTAAATGAAATCTATGATCTTTAAAATTCCAGATTAGGAGAATTATGCATTTTAGTGCTAGATTCATAAAATATGTTTCCTCATTTGTCTTGAATGGGATTCAGAGCCAACATGACCACAGTGCTCCAACAAGTTTGCAGCAGCATGGGACCAGAAACTCAAAGGAGACCTATAGTGCTCATTTCCTCCATAATTTTATTCTGGCACTCTGCTACAGTAACTCTGTATGAGTCACAGTTCAAAAACAGTCTTTATTTAACAAAAAATAACTGTTGTGCAGCCTTAGAGTGAAACAGGAGAAGAGACCTCTTCTTTCTTTTGATTGGCCAAATCCATCACACTCTGAGTGTTGCGGTTCTAAATGCAAACTAAGTAACTAAAAACAAGTAGCAGTGTATAATTGATTGGAAATTGCAACTATATTATATATATGTGCGCATTCATACATGTTTGAGCCCGAAACTGATCTGAAGTATGAGAGTGGACAAAGAGAGATTTCAGATTGACGTCTGTTTGGTAAATGTTATTGCCACCATCAGCCAATTTAATCAAGTTTGGGAAGAGGGGGGAAAAAAGTTAAAACCCATCAGTCAGTAGTCTGATGTTGAAGCATTTGTCAAAGAGGGATTGGTTTTATATGCATTATTGATTTAAATGTCTTAATTTGGAAATCTGTAGTGTATATGATAGACAATAAGTAAAAGCATAATAGGTCCATTTAAGTATGGTGGGTGATTTAGGACAGGCTTTCCTTCAGTTAAGCTGAGATGATGCAGAGCTAAAAACATTTGGCTCAGTGCACACACTGTGAGAATGGCATGTGAGTGCAGTGTGTTGATCCAGTGGGTGGTCTGTCTCTGCAGGTGCGAGATACCCACCTCTCACTCTCATCAGCAGCCTTCTCAGCCTCCTCCAGCTTGGTCAGAGCTGTGGCCAGACGCTCCTGAGCACGGTCCAACTCCTCCTCAACCAGCTGGATACGTCTGTTCAGGGAGGCTACATCACCCTCAGCCTGTGGAAAGAGCACAACACCACAATCATGAGTCAAGCTTCCCCTGAACATGTTTGAGTTGCAGCCGCAGACTTAAGGTACAGTGTGTAGAATTTAGTGATATCGGGTGTTGAAGTTGCAGCTGAACACCCCTCACCTCCCCCTCCCCTTTCAAACATGAAAAAGAACCTGTGGTAGCTTCAGTTGTCATAAAAACTCAAAAAGTGTTTAGTTTGTCCAGTCTGGACTAATGTAAAAAACAAGGGCGGCCTCCGTAGAGAGGGTCCCATCCATGTAAATGTAAAGTATTTAAATATAAAGGGCCTTTTCTAGGGTAAAGAAAACTACAATTCCTACAATTTAGATGAAACTAACTAGTGAAAACATCATGAGGATTATTCTACATTACATTTCTGCCAATAGATCCCTTTCACATAAATCTTACACACTGGACCTTTAAAACCTCCCAGCCCCTCTGCAGCCTGTCTGCAGAGAGGCTGGGCTGGGTCAGGGTCCACCTGCAGGGAGGGGTGCAGGCTCTGGTCTGCTCACAGGGTTTGCATTGTGCATGAAAATGTTAGGCTAATTCCGCCTCCCTTCATCTTCCCCATTCAAAACTTCAATTTCCTGTTGTCTCACAGTGATTTACTCATCTCTGTCCCGAAAACAAATGAGCGACATGGCTGTACTTTACGGAGGGGAGACAATAGCAGCTCCTTTGAGATCCCACCAGCTAAATCCCTGCATGAAGAGCTGTGGTGCTGCTGGGGCGTTAGCATGGTGGTCACAGGGCGGGTGGTGTGTTCGGGTGGAGCCCTTCTTTCCTCATCTCTCCTAACTCCATCCTTCCCTCCTCGGCACACCCTGCAGCGGGGCCGACTTCCAACATGTCTACCTGGTACCTGACTGCACACCCGGTGGCTGTCTGGGCCCGGCAGCCACGCTTTTTGACCAGATTTGCGCCTAATGCCGCCGGCAGCCTGCGGTCTAATTGCCTTAAATCATTAGCAGCAGCTTACTGCCTCCCTCGCGGTCCTCTCCTGGTTCACTTCCCGCTGCAGCAGCGCGACTCGCTCCTCCGCCACATCGGCCTGCTCCTGCAGCGACTTGATTTTCTTCTTCACGGCTTCCAGGGAGCTCCCACCGGCCATGTTTACCTCGCTCTTCCCTGCTGTCGCTGCTGTATCTGGGCTAAGCTAGTGTGGTCCCCCCGCTGTCTCCGTGTCTGCGGGCTCGCTCACGCACACTCACGCACACTCTCGGAGGATGCGGCGCGTTTGATCCCTGCCCCCACCGCCTTTAATCAACGGCTGATGAGGATTGGGACGTGCCATCGGTCCCGGAAGTACCTGATTTTTACACGCACACAAAAACGTTCGTTCAGTGAAGACGAAAGTAAACAAACTGCATCAATGTCGTCTGTGGTTTCAAATGAATTCAGTGTCGTGCATTCGTACTTTTAGTCTGTTTTACAACAGTTTCATTCATGATGTGTTAGGAGCGCATCCCCTGCTGCTGCAGTGAGCTCACCCTATCACAGACTGAGCACAGACATCAGATACAGACACTGACTAACTAACTAACGTACTGACTGACTAACTGACTCACTTATATCAAGAGTCAAGTTAATAAAGCAAATGCCTTATTATTATTATTGTAAGTTTGAATTATTATTAGTATTATAGGTTTTATTATTCGTATTAATAGTTGTTATTTTGACCCCCTGCAACCCTCAAAGAATAAGTGGCATAGATAATGGATGGATGATGATGATAATGATTGTTACTAGTATTATTAGTAGTAGTATTATCCTAAATAAATGTATTTAATGCCAATAACACTGCTTTCTGCAGATATATTATTATCAACAACCACATTGCATCCCTAAAGTGCATTTTTATGGCCTCCTTATTGGCTCAATGCAACTTTATCATGCCCTATTTTATTCAACAAGACACTCTTGTACTTAATATTTATTCAGAATAATGTGTGTTTAGCCTAAATTAAATCCTAAAAAATGCAGGTTGGTTGAAATGAGTGTCACACTCAGAGCAGCCTATAAACCTGTAATGTCATTGTGGTCAGACATATGTGCAGAAAGTTAACTGAAGCCAGCATCAGCACAAATTTGTCAGGGATTGCACAGGGCAAAATATGCTCATAAAACGTCCGACTGAAACTCTACACTGGTCCTCAGATTCGTCCAAAGGGTTGTGGAATGCACTGGTAGGCCCCAGAGCTGTGACCTTACCATATACAGCACAAGAGCTATATTTAACTATCCATATATTCATCCTATACTGACCCAGGGCCTCCTATATGATTGATTATTGCATAACTTCATTGTTAGAGTCAATCTGTATGGAGACTGGTAATCTCAGTTTCCTGGGGGGAGGCCAGAGGGGTGGCTCTGGGTCAAAGCATTATTGTCGCCCTACAGGGGCTTCTCCACCAATCTGTGGTGCCATCAACACAAACTCACATCTGTGGCTTTCTTCTCAGCGAGCTCCAGTTTCTCCTGGGCATCCTTGAGGGCTTCAGAGTACTTGTCCAGCTCATCCTCAGTTGACTTCAGCTTCTTCTGCAGTGCCACCAGGTCATCCTCAAGCTGGGACACAGAGGAACAAGAAGAGATTTACTTCAAACATCATTATAATTGATCATTTTCAATCACAACACCAATTAACCAATTACAAAAGCGCTCAGGCTAATACAATAGGCATAACATTAGATATCTTAGCTAAATCGTGCCTAATACAATAGCAGATTAGGCAATCGGTTTTACAACATGCACGCAGTACAAAAAATTCTAAATGATATGTTATATGTATATTGTGTTCTTCAAAGTTAATCAAATTCTTTGACGACAAATATTAATGCTCAGTGAAAGGACACCATAGCTATGCAGGAACCACGCAGAGTTAAAGTGCACTGTGCCATTGGCCCCAGTGCGTAAAAGAGTACAGGTTCCACAGTGGATGCCGACCTGTTTGCTCCTGTCCTCAGCTGCCTTCTTGTCCGACTCGGCCTGCTCAGCTCTGTCCATGGCATTTTCCTTGTCGAGCTTGAGCATCTGCATCTTCTTCTTGATGGCATCCATGGCTGCTCAGTGTCGGGGGTGTCCGCGCACAACCAAAAAGAAAAAAAAGAAACTGAATGAGAGGCTCGGAGCGTTTGAACCACACTGAACGCCAAGCTGGAGTGCGAGCTCGCGCAGGATGTAGTGAGTCAAATATGTTTTGGCTGGGCAGTTACTGGACACCCAATACTTTTTTGGAAGCAGCAAGCAGCTGCTTGCCAACGTGGGATCTTTCTTTTTTATGACTCTCCTCGCTGATTCGCTCTTGCGAGACATTTGACCACTTCTGTGACTATACATAGGGCATAGACGTCAGGTGGTCACTCCTCCCCTCACACCAAGACGTCCACTCCCTTTTCTAACACCATTCAAGTGACAGGCAGGAAATGTCAAGACTCAGGGAAGACTATACCCCAGAATCCAAGTGTGAACATGAGACACAGTTTGGCCAGTGTCTTATAACTATTTTATACTCTTTCATGTTTGGTGCCAAAATACAGGATTTTAGACCTGTATGTCTCATCATACATTCACAACAACAGGATTTCAGCAGATTGTTACCAGACTGAATTGTCACAGCACCTTTACGTATGAACGCTATTCATACAAAACAAATCTATCTGATGGATAAGCTGGATAAGCCCCCCGTGAAAGTTCTTCTCCCTCTGGGGTGTCATATTAGCCAGTTTGTCTTCCAGGGATCATCCCTCACAGCATAGTTCAACATCCGAGCAGCAATCAGATACGTGGAGGTATATCATCAAGCTTGTTCAACTCCTCTCTCAGTTAATACATGCCTGAGAGTTATATCTCCAGTGGGCAACAGTGGACATAGTGGCCTGCACACGCAGTGAAAGTTAGAGAGGCTTTGGCATTTCAACGGCCCCTCGCTGCGCCTCTGTGATAGTTCACAGGCCCACTGGCACAGACGCAGCTGTCACACACAAGCATTGGTCAGGACTGGTGGACGGCTGAGTAATAATAGTTTACAGTCCACTGTAGCCTGTACAGTAACTGATTTAGTTGGGAAAGTTAGACCTCGAGAAGAGTTATCAAATATAAGTTTAAGGGGGGAAATAATGGGTGATCTCATGATGTTAAATATGTTTTACTTAGATACACCACTGTTATGAAATATCATATGAACAGCCCTCTCTTTTTGTCCATTAGGTATAACAACCCACACCATTTGTCCTGTTAAGATGCCTTTAGATTTTTGCATCCTCCTGTTTTAGTACCTCACTCTTCTGCTTGTGTTTTGTTAAGTGTATATTTTGGGATCTTACTATGTAGAAAAGCACCTGTTGGACTCTGTCTGTGGCCCTTTACAGCTACTCCCGCCCTCTCCAAGCTTTAGAAAAGGGACATTGGTTTTCTTTCAAATCAGATAGTTCACTATTTTGGCTACTTTGTGAAAGAAATTGTTGTTTTAGAAACACAGGCTATGTGACCTTTTAAACCTATAGCACTTCACTTTTTCCTTATTCTTTGAGTAGTGACTTATCACACATACATCTGTGGCTGAAGAAGAAACTGAATAATTCAATAAATTGCTTTCACTTTAACAGTTTTAAATTTTGTAATGTCTACTTTAGTAAAACTAATGATCCCTGTTTTTCCCCATGTTTCATATTGTTATATTGCTCCTCTGTGGTGGTCCAGCCTGATACCCTTGGCGTGGAGCTTTTTTTAAAGCCGTCAGCTGTCACCGTGTTGTCACCCCACCATGTGTTTTGTGGACTGTTTAGTAGCAAGCCAGACATTCCGCTCATACACAGAGATCAGAAAGGCTCATGGCGCAATCCATGTCACCCTAGCACCCTGGATAGATAGAGAGGAGGACATCACCACTCTGTACCTGTCCAACAATTAATGATTTACCTGGAGGGCCTCAGGGGTTTGTGGAAGTAGCATTACAGTTACAATGTGAATTTTCTATGTTTCGTTCTTGGACCAGAATGCATGGGCAAGATTCTATTGCAGCACACAGAATTGTTCTCATGATTCTTTGGATTTTTACCCTTACATTACATTATCAACACTACTGCAGCAGAAATCTAAACTTTTTTTTTACAGATGTCTTTTACTGATCATTTCCATTTCCATGGCCTGTGGAGTTTAAAGGTCTTTGAAATTTGATTTCAGTGTGTGATCATTATTAACGTTATTAACACACTGATTTGACATTGTAGATAATTTATACATTTAAACACAGAGTCTTTGTTTCATCAACATTACGTATAATAATCGAACCTCAGTGTTAGACCACAAATAAAAGCTGGTATAGACGTGTTGAGGCAGCTGAGTGTGTAATGTGAGAACAGTGATGTGGTGATTTCATTGTTAATGTAGAGCCTGGAATCTCTCACTTCCAGCTCAACTATTGAAAGAATGGAGGAGGACCAATGTTAGTGTAGTACCCAATCCTCCTGAGATTCAAAACAAATGAAGCTTATGATAGGGTTTAGACGTACAGAGCTCATGTGTGAGGTCATGTAACAACATCAGTGTGATGAGCGTTAGCCGCTGTGCACAGGGCTTGTTCCAGTATCACTGCTGTGTCTTTTTCTGTCTGTGGAGTAACACAGCAACAACACCTGATAATAATAATACTTTATTTATGGAGCACCATCCACAATGCAGTTACAAAGTGCTCTACAAATTAAACATGAAAAAATTGAAAGCAAACAATATAAGCAATTTAAAGATCACAGAGCATTAAAGCAAAAATACAAGTAAAAATGTTAATGATAACAAAATAAAATAAAACACATGGTAAGATCAGAACTAGTCTAAAAAATTATAAATATTGAAAGTAAACGTTGACTGCAGGTCCTGATGTGATGCAGATCCTTTGAATCAAAGTCAAATGTGACTATATGTAAAAGAAAAAATCTTTAAAATCCTCTTTTTTATGTAAACATTTTTAAGAGAGAAACAAAGAGTAATCTTATCTTGTCTTTAAATGTTTAAGTGACGTCAGAAGATTTTTACCTCACTGCGTAGTTTGCTGCTGTCATCCTATACCCGCTTTCTCCCTTTTCTTATGATTGAGGATATAAAAGTAATGGATGAGCTATCCTCTATCAGCTGCTTGTCCACATTAAATTCAATGCCCTCATCCTTTCTCAAGGTTCTCGCTGTGTGTCCCCCTCCGCCCTGTACCAAGCATCTGTAACAGGGCCTTGTTACATGTCAGGAAAATGTCTCATAGTCACTGAGTTCTAGATTTCTGTCACATATAAGAAAGGTACGTTGTTGTAGCAGCGTTAAAAACGTTCTCCATGATAAAATGTCAGGAAATGGATTCCAGGTTTAAAAGCAGCTCTTGGAGCAGCTGTGCCACTGTAATTGACATTGCCTCCACAGATTTTAGCGCTGGACAAATTTAGCACAGTTCTCAGTTCTGAGACTGGACTCAGTATAGCTTCAGGTTCAGTGCTGACTCAGAAATACCTTCTCGTCCCTACACTAAACTGACCCTGTTCACTTGCCAGGACTCACCTCTCTGTTATTCACTGGGGCTGGAGAAGTCGTAGTGGTTCTGCAGTGTCCTTGTCCTTGCTGCTGATGAAACACGGTGGGAAGTCCTCACGGACTGAGACGAGGAACCAAATGTTCCATGTTTTATTTATTCAGTAAAATGTTCAGTTTTATTTACCTAAACAAAGCTCTACATGTTGTTTCTGAGCAGTTTCTAAACTGACAGAAGTAAAAGTTTATATAAATGTGGTTATCAAACCTCAGTACATTTTGAAATTGTTTTAAATGTTGAATCAGAATTTTAGTCTTGATCAACAATCTGTGAAAACGGTTTCACTTTTGACCGTAACTCATGTTCTACTTTTTAACACTGATGTATTGAGACTAATATAGTTTGTTATATAATGAAAAATAGGTCAAGGAGAGGTTTCTAATTTCAAATGTGATGTATTATCTTGAGGTGCTAAATGTGAGGAGGGTATACCAGGTCTCCACAGCTAAATCATTTTTTTCTGTTCTTCTGGATGAACAGTGTAGCATAAAACATATAAAACACATCAAAATATAAACACAGGACAGAGCCATATGGGTTTAAAAGGTATTTTAAAGGTATACATAGTATATGCAGTGGTTAATAAATAGTATATTACTATAATATGATAGTATCTTGATATTATATGATTGTCATAAATAGTATATTAGTATAACATGATAACAGAATGTGAGGATGATATTTATAAATCAAATGCTTGTTTCAAAACATGAACAATCTAAAGCTCAACTCATTTTTATCCTTTTGGCAATTTAAATTCCTAATCACACCAGATTTTGCCTGCAGCCATTCTTGTTTTATTTGATTCATTTGCGTTAATTAATTAATTTGCTTTAAATGAAATTGTTTGTACTGTATTTATTCCTCAGGCTTTTACTTTTGCTCTCGCTAATATTTAAAATATTTTTTTTGTTTATTGATTGTACTTGGCTGTATTATGAATGAGGTCTCTACCACATTGTATTTCCGAGTTCAAGTAAAGATTCACTGAAAAAATGAATGAACAAACTTTTCTGCAAAAGAAATAACCACAAGAAGAAATTCCGACACACTTCTTTCCATCGAAATGCTTTATTTTTCAGTGAATACAAAAAATAGTTTTATTGAGGCCGGATAAATATCTTTATCGTTATCACTTATCTTAATCATCTTAACTTCATAGCTGTATTTCTGTTGAGAGGAAACATACAGAACACTTCAAATACTCCACATCATCGAAATGTGCCACAACATGATCTTAATGGTGACACTTATATCGAAATATTCTTATGACATTTATCTTTCAAATAGGCTTGAAAGCACAAAGGGGGAAAAAAAGCCCATCCAAAAAACTTCATAACGTACAATAAAGCAGTCGACAGACCTGAGAGTGACAGTCTGCCATAGTTTAGAAGCACTGTGGTACATGCCCATGGAATCCAGTACAAAAAATGTGTGCATATATATATTTATACATATAATATACATACTGATGGTGCACATTTTTTGACTGGTTGACAGTTCCTCTGTCGTCCCCCAAAGGCTTTACATGCGGCAGAGAGAAGAGAGAGATAAAGGGGATGCAGTTGGTTCAGCACTTTAAGAGGAACAGTAATATAACAAAAGGGGA